GGTAAAGTTTCTTGATATCGAGTTGAAGGTTATTGTTCTAAAATTGCTTTTGAGTCAAGTCGTAAGCAGCTAGTTGAAATGTGTTCTAAACAATTGTTTTCCTTTTATTATTATGCCCTACCTCTGCACCTCTAGTATTATAACTAAGGGTGTTAGTTACGAGCCTTTTAATTTCCAGCGTTACAGTTTTCGAATTGATTAAGCCATTATGATATTTTCCTCTTTCAACTAGCACTTTCCAATTGTATATTAAGATTTTTTTCCCACCAAGTTAGGAGCTCCATTGTCCATCGTCAAGTTCAAACGGTCCTTTTTGATAACCTGTTTGTTTATAAAAATTATATGTTCTGACCAAAGTTTACTTTTTTTAATTCTGAGCTGTCGCAACCAGGGCATTCCCACTAATATCGACATCTTGTTCCCGATGTACACATCGTTTTTCTCTTCAAGTCCGTTGTACCACGCCTGGTTATAGATGTTTAATATGAATTCGTTCTTTAACCATGCTCCTAAACCGTGTGCATCCCCTACCTAGAATAAAGAATAAGTAATTAGAAAATTAATACATTAAGGTCTAAGGACCCCTCAAGAGGATAGAATGTGTGATTAAATCAAAAGACTGGAAAGAAGTGAAGGGGGAAAGAGACTAACTGCCAATCTTAAATGCAATTAGGAAACAATTAATAAAATATTAATAAACAAAGAATTCAATCGCCCACTGCACTTAATAGCGAACGTGAGTTTGAAATCCATAGTAACACCGCTACTACTTTTTTGTAAAGGTAAAAGTCATTATTTTCACTAAGTAGAAAATTGCTTCAGTACAGATATATCTATGGTAAATTAGCCTGCATACTTGCCATCGCTAGGTGTGGTATTGCGACTGACTTTGGTATCTATTTCTCTGTTAAAAATCTACGAGTCTGTTATCTTTCTCTGATACAAGGGTCGATTACCATGCGAAATAGCTTTTGAACACTGCCAAATATTTTATAACTGCGGACAAAAAACATTTTTAATTTAACCAGATTAAAGTTAGTAAATCGATATGGATTGGCTTGCATAATCATACTAATCTTACCAGATTAAAGTTAGTAAATCGATATGAATTGGCTTGCGAAATCATATTAATCTTACCAGATTAAAGTTAGTAAATCGATTTCTCATCTCGGTTGTCATCAGAAAACGATTTCCATTCTTGTTGCCATAAGATACGATAGCCAGAAGAAACACAAATATCAAATGGAGAACAATTTCTCTTGTCATGCTTGTTAATTGAGCTTCCTTTTTTGATCTCTCCCTCATCTTTTCCTGCTGATATTTCTTATAGCGCTGTTTGGGATCATCGCCCAAAAAATCTATCTCAATTGCGAGTGAATCGATAGTGGTCTCTTC